CTTATAAACTAAGTGTTGTCTTTTTATGTTCATGTAACTTGAATTTAAAAACCATCACGTTGTGTGCCTTAAACTTTTTAGATGTTGTATCCACTGTAATTTTATTTATCCACAAACCTATGTCTTCAGGAGGGCTTAGAAGGTGGTACAACCCGCCGTGGTTTTCATAATGGAACCAGTGGTATTCATGCTTTTGTCTTTTTTATTTCTTTCACATTTAAATGAGATGTTTCATGTGTAGTTTTCTAAATTTGTCTTAACCGAATACATTTAAATATGCTTGCTCGAGTTTCTTTGTGGAAGAGTGGTCTTGATTATCGACATGGCACTGGTCATATACTTTTTTTTTTTGTTACACTTGTATAAAAACTTTTTCAAACTCAAAAAAGCAGTAATCCCTCATACTAGAGGATAGCCATGTGGGTCATCCTTTTTTAGTTTTGTTTTTCGGACTCTATCTTAACTGTATCTTATCATGTAGCTCATGCATTGTGTTTTCAGATAAACACTAGGTAGACTTTGCCTTTCTTGTTTCCTTTCGAATCTTTCAACTTTTTGCTCTTTATGCATTTTTAGGGCATGCTTGGTCTATAAATAGTTTCGGGAGCCATAAATGTGAATTTTTAAGAGGAGCTTCTTGAATGGAAAAAGGGTTGGAAACAATAAAATTTGCATCTGCTATGTCTCTTTATATCTAAATGCAGACCGTAATTCTTCTTATTATGTTTTTCTTCTTTTTGTTCTCACTTGATATGCTGAGGTCTGGTTGCATATGGTTCACCATTGACTCTTATCTTATTCTTAACCAAAAAAAAATTGATTCTTGCTTATGAATTCTGTTTTTGCAAATTTTCAGTCTCTGTATCATAAGACAATAATATATATTTGCACTTATGGTATGAATTCTTATCTTACTCTTAAATGTTGTGCCTACTTGGTTTATATTTGCACTTATGGTACATGGCTTATTTCTTTAAGAGTTTAATTTCATCTATAAGAAAATGATATATTTGAAATCTTTTATTTATCTGAACCTCAATTCAATTTGCAGGAAATTCAAAAGAGGGTATTTCTGTGTGGTCCATGGCTTACTCCCTACCCTATCACATGATCATTTAATTCCTAGTTGAAACATGAAGTGGGATCCATTAATGACTTCTTGTTATCTAGTTAGATTGGTTGACAAATTAGATTTTCTTGTTCACCAATATGATTTGGTAAATTTTCATATTGGTCAATTTGAAGTGACAACATATCTTATGCAAATTTAGTACATTGCACTTTTTAAGCTTATGTTCATATTTATGGTAGTTATGTTTACATTTTACATGTTTTTTTCCTCCAGCATAGAGCTAGACGGAAAGACACGTACACCCAAATGGAATTGGATGAGGTGCGACAAGGTACCCATTTTTTATATTTTTTTTCTTTCTCTTCAATCCTTGGTTGTTTGTACTTTTTGAGAAGGTACCTGAACAAAATGAATGTATGAAATGATCTCATATGAAACAAAGAGAACTCCATTAATGTGAATTTGAAACTCATAGTCTCAAACTCAATTTCATTTTTTGAAATTCTGAGAACTCGATTCATGTCCACAATTTCATCAATTTCATTCAATATCCGTTTTCCGAAAGGTTATGACAGAGAAGAACATGGAAAAAGAAAATGTAAATTTTTTTTGTTAGAGGCATTTCTATTTCTTTGTGGCCACCTAAAATTTGTTTCTTTTAAAAATAAAAATAAAACTATGGATGCAAGGTTTATTCGTGGGGATGAGTTTTTGCAGGTGGACCATGTAATTTTGCCTAGACAAATATAAGTGTTAATTATTTCTTACTCGATTAAAGGAAAAAAAAACTAAAAATACAGTGTAAGTTGGAAAATTAAGTATAAAGAAAAAGAAATAATATAAAAGTGAAGTAAAAAGAAATTAATGTAGGGTAAGGGTAGATTAGGAAAGAAAAAGAACAAAATTGATTAAAAAATATTAAAAAAATAAAAGAGAGTACAAGTAGAGAAATCAAAAGTGGGAAAATAAACTCCCTATGAAAAAACACCCAAAGACTTTCTCCTCTTTTAAATCAGCCATGCAGTGCTCTGGCTTGGCGTCAAAGCCCTCTTACAGTATAGTGACATTGATGTGGCAAAAATATCCTTGGTGGGCCGAAAGGGTGGCTACACGTGTAACTTCGACTTTTATGAGAGAGCTGAGAGCCAACGTGTGGACCTTTGAATTTATGGATTATTTATGAACCATTATAATTAGATTATGTGGGAATTGCGTCCTTGAGGCTTGACGAGCTGTTGAGAACTTTAGGCAGCGATATTTGTGCTTGCAGATTGATCTAACTCTCCTTTGCCATAAAACTTGTGCATGCAGTTTGCTGCATTTAAACGAATCCCTACCAGCTAACCAACCTACCGGCCTTCACCTATCACATTACCACAAGATTTTAACCCCAAAACCCCCTCGTCTCATTTCTATCATCCACATCTGCAATTTTCATATAGGGTTTTTCCATCTTTCATCTTTGTCCTTTTGTTTTGTTTCGTTTTTATTTATTTATAAAAATGATATTGGGAGATGAGCTTTTTCACACACACTGTCAAGATGTCACGGGGGTTCGAACCTGATACCATTGGTCTGTGAGTTAAGACCCTTTCTACTGGGTTAGACACCGTTGGCTCATCCTTTATTTTTTAAGTAAAGGGGAGAAAACTATTCTTGATTATGAAATACAAAAATAGAATGTGCAATTATACAATTGATATAAAAAATGTGATGCGAGCATCTAATTCAAAATTAATTGGCAATGTGTGAAGAGACTCAAGATCTTTTAAACTATTAAGTAAAGCTTTAATTTTCCAATGTATGATTCACAGTCACAACAATTAGTGTAGAAACCACAATTATGTTAAAATGATTAATTTACAATTAAATTTGCAATTTGTCTAGTCTCGTGATGACTCCTAGCTAATTAATAAAACAATAAGGCCTTGTTTGTTAAGGAGGACTAGATTGGACTATACTAGACTAGCAAAATGCTCATATTTGATGTGCAATCAAGACATAATATGGATATTGTTGTATAGCTTGGAGGATGAGGGAGGACTATTCATAAGAAGTTGATTACTAAAACTTATCCCTAATAATCCCACCAATTTCAAGGGGATTAGGGAGGGGATAAGTCTTAGTCATTAACCTCTTATGAAGATAGTCTCAGTTCTTCCACCAAGTTAGGCACATGAAATGTAAGCACTTTTTCTAATCTAGTCTATTCCTCCCTTCATGAATGCATGATATAATGCACCAGAAGCATTAAGGAAAGAAGACGGATGAGTGGTGAAGGAGAAACAGAAAGAGATGAGAATGAGTGGGTGAGGAAGAGAGATCTCAATGTGCGATGCATGGTCCAATGTGAACGAGAGGGAGACGGAGAGAAAATGACCGGACCAGAAAAAGGAGATTGTGGAGTGGGTTTCAGCCACTAATAGATTAATTGGATGGTAAGACTTTTGCTTCAAAATTCAGGAAACTGCACATGTTTAAAGGCACTGGAGGATCTAAATCTTGTCTTTGATCATGATGGCCTAGTTTCCTTAACATTTAATCACGGCGGATAACTATGTCTGTTATGCAATAAGCAATTGTTTAGTTGCTATAGTATGTACTTCTTGGAGTCCATTTCATATGAAAGACTCCTAGGTTTGATGACATCTAGAGGGGACCCCATGAAGCCATAGTTCCTGGCCCCTTTAACAATGGATCTCCATCTTTTAAGAAGAGAAAAAAAAATTGTATTGAGACCATCTCTCGATGAATCCAATGATCGGAACTGTATATTAATTATCGAGTCACCAGTCAGGATTATCCGTTCAAAATATAATCAATCGAATCGGAATCCATTTGATCATTAACTTTGAAGAAATAAATAGAATAACACAATATACTAATTAAGTGATTATAATGAGATTATGAGATTGCTTTACTCTTCTTTTTTAAATAAAAGCGATAGTTTAAACTATAAGGGGGAAAGGGTTTCTCTCACACACACTGTGCTAGACCCGTTGACGTGATTGCTTTTATTATCTTGATGCTAGTTCATACAAATACAGTAAAAGAGGGCTAACTATATATAGCTTTGCATGATATACAAACTAAGCATTAATGTAATGTACTACTATACAAATTAAAATCAGTATTGTGTAGGTTTATATATATATATATATATATATATATATATATATATATATATATATGGTTGACAGATTTTTGTGCTTTATGACTGGAAACCAACAGCACCCTGATTTGGTGTTAAAGATGCTCTTCACCCCAATTCCTGTGTTAATATTGGAATTACCAAGCCTTCACATACCTAACTTTCACATGCTAAGAAATGTCAAGATTAATTCATAAATCTATAACTATATCATTATAACTAAGGAAACAATTATAAGAGAAAATTATCATTTGAGAAAAATAGAAGGGAAAGAAATGCAAATGGAAAGAATATTTAAGCAACAAAAATATGTATGTTCAATTGGCAATCATAGTTTTAAAACTAAACTCCTATAAAATAAGATATGTACCATATAGTGCTCCTCTAGCTTATTAGTCATTCAACATCAATTTTCCCCAGCCTGAATACAAATTACAATCACCACACATTTCCCTTCCCATGCATATCATTTCTTGGTGATAAACTGATTTTTGCAGTTCATCTCCAATTTGTATGCTACATCCAAGAATTTATATAGCCTCATGAGATTATCAAACAATGGGATCAATATTCTAGCTGCCTTCATGATGAAGTGTTTGGCCCTTCTCTCCATGTTAATGCCTCCATTAGGCACAATTTTGCTAGCTATCTGTCAATACTAGCCAAAGTTCTTGATCAGCCAAACAATAATTCCCTTTTTAATTCCCTCCTTTTCCAATTCCTGGCCAAGATCAGCTAGTTAGAGATCAATTCATCTCCTTCTCCAAATTATATGTATTATCTAAAAAGAGAAAGAGTGGGTGAATGTTGAAGGTTGGTTTCGATTTCTCTCGCCATAGTGAAGGACCCTTTAATATTTTTTTGCATCTCTTCCCCAACTTGAAGTGGAGGATTAGGAAAAGCAATGGTGAGGTCGAGATTCAAGTCACGAGATGATGAACCAGAAGTTTCATCTTCAAGAACACTTGTAGCTTGTGAGGCCCTTTGATCAATTTCACGTGAAGACTTGATTGGTGCTTTAGTACATGCACTAATATTGCTCATTGATCCAGATGATGTTGCAGCAGCAGAAACACAGTCGTTTTGAGGATTCGGACGAGGAATGATCTGGTTTAGCCTATGGTTATTGGGATCAATGCCCATTTTAATTAGCTTCTTCCGGATGTGAGAATTCCAATAGTTCTTCACCTCGTTGTCCGTCCTCCCTGGCAACCTTCCAGCAATAAGCGACCACCTAACAGCCCATGCACGAAACTTTCACCATTAGCTATATAGTTGACCTTTATACTCACGCGCTAACACTTTTAACACATGTGAATATCTACGTTATATATGTAGGAAAATGTTCGCTTCTTATCGGACAGTCTGGTCAACATATGTATTTACTAATATTTGACACGAGAAAGAGGGGAAGGAAAGATTGATGGTGCATACCGGTTGCCAAGAAGGGCATGTAGTTTGATGATGAGGTCTTCTTCATCTTGCTCAAAGTTTCCACGTTTGATGTCTGGCCTTAGATAGTTTATCCATCTTAGCCTACAACTTTTGCCACAGCGGTGCAACCCTAATAATACAACATCACACAAATTATAAGTCATCAATAATTTGGAACATAAAAGAACACAAAGTAGACTATTATTTCTATATACAAAACATAAAAATGCGCACAACTCATGTTGTTCAAACACAAGACACACCTGCAGCCTTGGGGAGAGATCGCCAACAGCCTTCCCCATGAGCTTTAATGTAATCAATGAGTTTTTGGTCTTCTTGTTTAGACCAAGCTCCTTTGTTTGTGCCTTCTTTTTCACAGCAAGGTTTTCTCATTTTCGCTCAGAGAGAGAGAGAGAGGGAGAGAGAGAGGCCCATGTAAAGGCAGAAGATGGGCGTAGATATAGTGCGCGAGAGCTGCTTCATGAAGAGAAAAGGGAGGTGAGAAATGAGACGGTTGACTTGGACTGGTGGTTTTGGCTGTTTAGGTGGGTCTCACTCTTACAAAGTCATACGGGCTTGAAGAAGATCAGGTCGTGTGTGTGTGCCTTCTTTGTAGACTTATAGTCAGTTGTTTACCGTTAAGTATATGTCATTTTCCATTCCACATGTTTTCTCGAATTCTGAATATTATTTCACTAAAACCCTAGTTCTTCATTAATTTGTTTTCATATTGTCATGGAAATTGTTTATGTATAAATTATATTCTGTTCTGTTGTTCGTCTAGAAGAGCCATAAAGAAGATTCATCTGCAATGATATAGATGTATGATTGAACTTATAATTAAGGATAGCGATGATTATTTTATTTATTAACATTAGAAAGGAATAAAGATACCCAACTTTTTATTTCATCATTTGATTGGGATAATAATCAATAGCTAAGAAATTGTTAATTCATTTGAATGATAATTTTTCTTCATCATAATTTTAAAAAGATACTTAAAAACTAGGTGGTCTGTATCACGATATCACGTGTAAGCCCAAAAAAATAACTCGTAGTATCCTTATTATACGTTAATTCATACATACATATAAAGACGGATTCAAAAGTGAGAGCTCATGGGTGATGGGTCATAAGATCATCATCAGAATGTTATGATGTCCAAATCAGACTGAAAAGGGCTAGAGCATATCCACCATATTGTTAATTATACACAGAGCTTATAGGCTTTTGGTCCTCATCATGATCGTAAAATGTAATATATAGTTCCAAGGCTGCTTTTGGCTTGATGACTCACAAATAGCATCATCACTAGGGTTTCCAACCCAACAACATTTTGTTTGGTGCTGCTTTTTCTGGAATAAAATATATACTTGATGCGCATACAGCTCCTTTCCTCTTATTAATTAGCGTTATTGGTTGAATATCATCATAGACCTTGGTCTTTCAATCAGTCCATCATCTAAATTGAATATTTACCATTATATGTAACTAAGGATTAAAAGTAATAATACATGAAAATGATAACATTAATATATGAAATGGTGTGTTATCGATAAATATATTGAAATGGTATGATAATCAAATAACTAAGCAATTTATATTTATAAATAATATTTTTCAATGCCAATTTTTGAACGAAAACTTAGAAAGAAAACGACTTGGGTCATTGAATTATAATGTAAAATGAGTCTCGCAAATGTGTCCACAAATAGTATTATTTGACCAATCTTTCGACTCCTTTTTGAAAGAAAATCCCTTTAATAGAACCTTTAAAGCAAGAAAAATGCACAATTGTGAACTTCATTGTTGTCCTTTCAATATCTTAGTAGGGTTTTTATTTGGTTAATGACTCAAGAAGAAGCGAAAGCAAAAACCTCAGTTATGAACCCACAAAACCCACAAATAAACTCGAAAATTAAAACCTAAAGTGAAACCCCATTAAGCCTTAGATAAGCCCTAAACCCGATAGTATTATTGCTATCAATTTTTTTTTTCTAGCCAATGTTGCATTATCATATTGAGTTCTACAACGTTGTGTTTGTTTTTTTTTTTTTTTTTTTTTTGTATTTTTTGAGATTACATTCATAATTTAGTCAAAAAAGTCACTAGCCATAAATGGTCATTATAATAACGGAGCAATCTAATATCAAAATTAAGACAATCTGGTGTGCCTCCACTAACGATCACACATGATTGAAGAAACTCTAGCATAGGCATCCCAACTAAAATTGCAAACTCAAAATAATAAAAAAAAAGATAAAGCTTGAAAAACCCAAACCATAACAATACAAATAAAACTCTCACAAAAAAGAGATGGAAAGCTTTCACAAAAGAGAGATGAAAATCTCTCACAAAGGAGAGGTGAAAAGCTCTCACAAATGGTGAGGTGAAAACTACATAGAGAACCCAAAAAGTCTTTGTGACTTATTCCAAACATCAAGAAACCGCAAAAAAGATGGTGGTGGAGATCTGACGCCGAAACATAGTTGCCTGTGATGGTTGGAGAAAAATCATAACAAAACGAAGACAAATAGGGAAAACCTTTTGTCTCTGAAAATCAGGGGAGAAGAGAGTGAGTAAGAGAAGAGAGGAGAGGGGAGGAAGAACAGTGGCTTCCTCCCCCTCAAAGTGAAAACGGCTATAGGAGGTTTTTTTTGAGAGAGAGTACTGTAACACTGATTAAGCAATTTCCATTAAATTATACCTTTTTCTTCTTCTTATAGTTTACTCTTGTTTTTAGAGTGGTTCAAATTTGCTTTTTTGTCTCATACTGATTGACGCAAAACGTAACTTCACCCAAAATTTTACCGAGGCATAAACCAAAGTTTTTTTTCAATAATATGAGTGTTATAATTTCCACCGATTTCACATTTTGTAGAAGAACAGAGAGTTAGTTGTATTTGACTTGTAGGTTTTGAAGACTTTGTCTATCTTCAACATTATGGGCATAAATTCCCTGTTTCTTTCTTTGAATACGTAGAGTTTGCTATACTTCTATATATTTTAGACATGAATTATGTTATTTCTCACTCCAGGTTTTCTATTATTTGGGTGAACTTAATGATTCAATTTCCTATACCCTTGGAGCTAGTTCCTTATTTGATGTATGATCTTATTATGCTCATACTCTTCTTTGGTAAGAATTTTTTTGTGTAATAAGATTGAGAACGAAAAGATTTTGGGGGGTGGGGGGAGACGTGCAGAGAAGGAAGAAGAAGGAAAAAAAACTGCTACAGACGTTAAGTTTAGGCGTTAGTCAAGTTAGGTTTTTTTTTTTTTTTTTTTTTTTTTTTTTTTTTTCATTTTCATTTTTTATTATTATTATTGGGAGTAAATTTGGGGTTTTAAAGGGGTGGGCATCTCATTCCAATTATGCGTGCGTACCAACGGTTTGGTTTGGTTTGGTTTTAATTAATTAATTTTTTTAATTTTAATTATTCCGATCTGATCTGTATCAAAATGTTTGGTTTGGTGAATAAATAACAATATCCCTAATCCGACGGAAACTCGTACTAATATGATATTTACACTTATTTAGTATTTAAAAACAAAACAAAAAATCAAAGGTAAACACAATCAACCTTTTGTATCACTCCTATATCACCTATGTATCGCTTATTTATTACCTAGGTACTGTAGCACTTTTAGGTCATAGAGGAATTTATGAACTTCCTCTGTTTCCCAGTTTCGACCTTTGTCCCGTTTTTGACCTGTAACTTTCCAACCGTTAATCCAAATTTTATGTTCTTTATAAGGTTGGATTCAACATGTTAAACTAAAGAATCCAATGCGGACCAAATGTCAAAATCAGTTACATACGTGTACAAAATTAAGTTAAAAAAACTCTCAAAGTTTCAAATAACAAACACAAACAAAAGGGGACCTAATTCTAATGTTTAAAATGTAACTAAACTCTAATTTTAGTGGCTCAAGACACATGATCCTATGCATTCATTTGTGTTCTATTTCTATTTTCATAATTTGTTTAATGGTGTAGGAGTAGATTCCCAAATGAAAGAGCAAGTGGCTCCTAGTACATCTTGAGTATATATTGAATGGTGATTAAGTTATTTGATTTCGTACTATGATGAATTAGACTATTGAATTTTTATATTTTACAAGGATAATTTGGTGTTTTTGTTCAAGAACTTATGTAATGTGAAACAATTATAAATTGTATTTTTATTAGTATGTTTTTATTACGGTACTACCGACATACCAAACCAATCTGAACTGAATGTTAGGTTAATCAATCTGAAGTTTACCGAAGTTTTTGGTTTGGTTAATAAAAGAGAAAATGGTCTATCGAAATCTTTGATTTGATTAACGGAAGAGCCATCTACTCTTCCAAATTGATCCACGCCTAGGCCTAGGATGAGGTCTCCAATTTAATTTCTTAAATTTAATTTAATTTTAATGAGGTGACATTTTTTAAATTTATAATTCTCGCACCCAATCGATTGAAACCTACCCCTATCCAAATTTCCAAGCTTACCTATTGAGACCAACCCCACCTTCCACTGTCGCTAGAATTGCTGTCGGTGCCCGCAACCCTCTCATGTCTTTTTCTCTTTCCCTTTTGTGGGGGCCAGCGGGCTATTAACTAAGCGAAGAAGTGATGGGAGGGTAAAATCGACACTTTAGGCTAAAAATAAAAGGGGTTGTTTCAACAAATTCGGGGTGGCAATAGAATTTTCCTTAATTTTTTTTTTTTTTTTTTTTTTTTTTGGATTAGGACTGTTATTAATTCCAGATAATCAATACAAGATGATAAAGAGTAGCCCGAAGTGGACCAGAATTTCCCTTGACATTATTGTCAAGAAAATGTTGCAATGGAAATGTAAATTTGGATCACATCTAAGAAATTTGCCCGAATAAAATACCGCATATTTTTTAAGAAGTTTGTCGAATAATACACGTACATATTATGTTTTATACTTGTCCCGTTTACAAACTACTGTGACTTTGTGCGGAACCTTGTTTGTTTTTTATTGCTAAAAAGAAGAGATGTTTTCAATTTAAACGAGCTTGGACATTAACTTATGGGGTTTAGATTAGGTTATTTAGTGTATAATTTGGGAACACTTTTCCCATGTTTGTGTGTATGACTTCTTGCATGTGTTTTAGTTGTTCATATAAGAAAAAAGACAATAGCAAATCGAGGGGGAATAAAAAGGAACAGGAAAAAACAAATGCATTTTGTTATTTCCGGCAAACCCAGAAAAGTGTCCTCTCAACCTAAAAGTTTACTCATAGGCATAATTCCTCATCTTACATAATAGGAACGTTACACTCATGCATGATGCACCTCTTTTTATGGCACCCCTTTTGACATGGGATCCCTAATTTAATTCGAATTAAAAAAAACCTCCTCAATAAGGTTGACAAAA